TCCATTGTTTGATGGTTTATCCTAGTATCTCTATGTGACACTTGTAAAAGAAACTTTGGCTATTTCATTTGATTACCAACACTATCTTGAGTCGTTGTTGCACGATTGTGTCTCATAGTGACTTGTGTAAAATGTTTATAACTATTTGGAAACTTGGATCGAAAGTGGAAGAAAGATGAATATCAATTTTCAGTTCTGTGAAGATGACTTTTTTAAACAGAGGTCAGAAAGTCATTTTTGAACAGTAAATTTAAACATCAGTTCCTAGGTAGCTGATTGGTGACATTCAGGATTTAACTTAAATCACTCAATTGAGTTGTTATGAACTTCACAAACAAATGATCAGGGACTACTAGTAAGTTGTGTTCGGAAGAAGAAAAGTCATCCTAACAGGAGATGTTAATTTGTAGGAGTCTCTAGCGAGTGAGAGTTGGTAGAATTCTGCAGGTTGTTAGAATTAGAAAGATTATCTAGACTATCAAAGCTGAAGAGAAGTCTTTTGGTCATCTAGACCAAGAAGGAAGGCTGGAAAGTGTCATTTAACTTTTTAAAAAAAAACATAGATTCATGAGAGGAGTGACACTTCACTTGGATCGAGTGACTGTAAAGCACATTTCTGAGTAAAAGATCTTTAGGGTTATTGAGATGTATAGCGCAGAAAAAGGCCGTTCAGCTCATCAAGTCTGCAGTCACCAAACTATTCTAATCCCATTTCCCAGCACTTGGCTCATAGCCTTGTCTGCCTTGGCATCATAAGTACACATCTAAATATTATAAATGTTATGAGGGCTTCTGCCTCTACCACTCTTAGAAGCCGTGTTTCAGGTTCCCACCACTGTCTGGTTGAAAAGTTCTTGCTCCTATCCCCTCTAACCCTCCTGCCCCTTACTTTAAATCTATGCCTCCTAGTCATTGACCTCTTCATCAAGGTGAATAGTTTCTTCCATCTATACTTGTCATAATTTTATACATCTCAATCATATCCCCCTCAGTCTCCTCTGCTCCAAGGAAAAATACTCAGTCAGTCCAATCTCTCTTCATAACTAAATCTCTCCAGCTCAGACAACATCCTGGTAAATATCCCATGCACCCTCTCAAGTGCTATCATATGCCTCCTATAATGATGATTCCAGAACTGCGCACAGTACTTTAGCTGTGGCCTGAACCACATTTTATACAATTGCAGCACAACTTCCCTGAACTTTACACTCTCTGCCTCAGCTAATAAAGGCAAGTATTCCCTACACTGCCTTAACTACTTCACAATCTACCTGTCCTGCTACTTTAAAAGACCAGTGGAGATGCACACTAAGGTCCCACTGATTCTTGGTGCTTTTCAGGGTCCTACCGTTCATCATGTACTCCCTTACCTTGTTCGTCCTGCCCAAGTACATCACCTCACACTTATCCGAATTAGATTCTATTTGCCACTGATCGGCCTGTCTGTATCCTCCTGTAATCTAAGGCTATCCGCCTCACTATTTACCAAGCCACCAATTTTTGATTCATCTGCAAACTCAATCCTCCTATATTCAAGTCTAAATCATGTATATGTACTACAAACAGCAAGGGCCCCAACATTGATTCCTGTGGAACCCCACTGGATACAGATTTCCAGACACACACACGTCCCTCGACTATCACCCTCTACTTCCTGCTACTCGGCCAATTCTGTAGCCAATTTGCCAAGTTTCCTTGAATCCCATGGACTCTTACTTTTGCTATCAATCTCCCATTCGGAACCTTCTAAAAAGCCTTAATGAAGTCCAAGTAGACTATGTCAAATGGATTGCCCTTATCTTCACACCTAATCACCTCTTTGAAAAACTTAGTCAAGTTGGTCAGACATGACCTCCCCTTAACAAAACCATGCTATTCTTGGTTAATCTCTATCTCGCCAAGTGCAGATTAAGTCTATTCCTCAGAATTAATTCCAGTAGTTGCCCACCACTGAGCTTAGACTGACTGGCCTGAAGTTTCCTGGTTTATCCTTCGTTCTCTTGTTGAATAATGGTACTACATTGGCTGGTCTCTGGTTGTTTGGCACAGTTGCTGTGGCCAGAGAGAATAAGTGAAAATCATAGCCATTGCCCCTGCTATTTCCTCCTTGGCTTCGCTGAACAGTTTGATACATTTAATTTGCTCCTGGAGATTTATCTACTTTTAAGTCTGCCAACCACTCAACCTCCTCTCTGTCTATGGTAATTTCTTTAATTGTACCATAGTCCTCCCTGAGTTCTATACCCACGTCATTCTTCTCACTAATGAACACTAACATGAAGTATTCATTTAGAACAGTACTTACGTCCTTTGGATGCACGCACAAATTTCCACTGTGGCCCTTAAGAATAGTACCCTTTCCCCAGATATCCTTTTACCCTTAATGTACTTCTAAAATAAGCTAGAATTTCCTTTATTATGTGTGCAATTATCCTTTCATTCCCTGTTTTTGCACTCCCAATTTTCTTTTTAAGATCCCTCTTGCACATTATGTACTTCTCTAGTGTTTTTACGGTTTGAACCCCAAGTGTCTGCCATAAGCTTCCATTATTCCTTTATCCAATCCTGTGTACTCCTCCATATCCCAAGTTCGATTGATTTGTTACTCGCACTGTTTATCTTTATTTGAATATGTTGGCCCTGTACTCATCCTATTTCCTCTTGGAATGTATCCCGCTGCTCTGACACAGATTTATCTAAAAGTATCCACTCCCAGACAACTTTAGCTAAATAACATCTGATCTTAGTAAAATTGGCCTTTCCCCAGTTTAGAACTTTGATTTTAGGCTCATCCTTGTCTTCTTCCATAACAATCTTAAATCTAGCAGAGTTATGATCACTGACTGCAAAATGCTCCCTCACTGATACTTCACCCATTTGCCTCACTTCATTACCTAAAATTAGGACTGGGACTGCCCCTCGATTGTAGTGTTTTCTACATACTAGATTCTATATATTTCACTGTATATTCTATATAGATTCTAGATTCTATACATGTCACTAAATTCAATAAATTGAGTTGGGTAGTTTTACTTTTTTTTGTGCAATAAACTTGTGTTGTTTTGTTAAGAATGTTGGCAGCCACATGTTAATATGTTCGATGATCGACCACCATGCTAGCCAAACTACAAAAATAGCATTTATGATCTATCATATCTCATCACTCTGGAATCTGACTTGTCCAATATTACCACTCTTTGAACCAGTTCTTTATGAAAATGGTTTACTGTAGTACCAACGTAGTGGTGAGCATTGTCACACTGGCTGTGCATGTTTGACTGTGATACACCATGGATAATTCTGCCTCTGACACACAGTCCAGCATCACTTGGCTTCAAATTATTGCTTGTTGAGACGTGGCCTGCTTTCAAATCTTTATTTAATAAGTGCAGTCAAAAGATACGTTAAATGTGGCTCTCTGTATTGCTGGTTGTGTTTGATAACATGGAGAGGGAACCACTGCAGCCATGGTTTTACAGTAGTTTTACATTGTTTCCAGAAATGACTCTGGAAGATTTTCATATTAAAACTCTAGACATCACAAACTTATGGAAAAATCCAGTGAGTCTACGTAGTGTAATTTTAGTGCCCACCAACTGTTAAATGGAATATTTAATTTTCGTCAAATGGCCAAGACTATGTCAAAGATCACAGATGCCTTTCTTTGTTGGCTTATGATGTTGTGTGGTCAACATTGTAGAACAACAGCTTGCTTTTACTTTGGACTGTTAACATAGTAGAACATTCCAAGGCTTTACAGAACTGTTATCACACAAAATTTGGCACTTTGACATTGAGCCACATAAAGAAAGATTAGAGGAAATGAATAAACGTTTGGTCAAAGGGGTAGATGTTAAAGAATGTGATCAAGGATAGAGAGGCTGAGGGGTTTGGGAAAAGAAACTTGCCATGTAGAGCTAGGCAGCTGGAAGCATAGCTTCTGATGATGATGTGATTAAAATAGTGGTTACAGTGGAGAGAAGCATAGACCTTGGAGGGTTGTAAGGCTGGCGGGAGTTGTTTCGCTGAGACCGGGGCAAGGTCATGGAGGGATAAAACGAGGGTGCGAATTTTAAAAGTGAGGCATGATCAGGAGCCTTGGTAAAGACATAGCAACAACTGCAGATGCTGGAGTCAGAGATAACACCGTATGGAGCTGGAAGAACACAGCAGGCCAGGCAGCATCAGAGAAGCAGGAAAGTTGACATTTTGGGTTGGGACCTGACCTGGCCTGCTTTGTTCTTCCAGCTCCACACTGTGTTATCTTAGCCTTGGTAAAGAGGCCTTCTGTGAAATTCAGGTTGGGCTTTCTAGCTGTTTCAAACTGCAGCTGTAGTAATTGAATAAGTGCAGCATTACATCAAAACTTGCTGGACTAACAAGCCAGAGGTTATGAGTTCACATTCCCTATGGCAAGCTGTGTAATTGAATTCAATAAAGGAAACTAACAATCCCAACCCACTTTACATGTTATTCCAGTCCTACATATGTTAATGATTCTGAAATCACTCTATCAAAAGAAAATACATCACAAAGACAACCAATGTGGGACAATGAATTCAGTCTGAGCACATCTCTTGAGTAAGTATGAGCAATGTATGAGCTGAGATGCTGGGCGTCAGGGTTTATGATTGAATGTCTGATAAAGACCCGTTTTGGCAATATTCTGTATAATCTGTACCTGTCCATATTGCACTGCAGTGGCTCAAGAACAACACTTCCCCCAAGGGCAAGAGCTAAAAATAGATAGGACAGCTGCTGACTGGAAAAAGCCCAACAGCTACCCTTTCAGAGTTTCCCAGAACAGGAGCTGACAGAAAACTGTGACAGACAGGAGAAAACAACAAAAGAAAAACCCCATCCTGTTCTCCCTTTCACTTTTCCCTCTTTCCTTCCTCCCTAAATTCATTTTGTCTTGCAAATTCAATTGTACCTTTCTACCACTCAGTCTTTCGGTAAGAAATAACCTTGTATTTATGGTACGTTTTGTCACTATACAGGGCTATGTCAGTCTGGGATACCAGTCTTCAGATCACCACAATTTGCAGTTTGTTTGGAGCTTGGCTTGGAGCAATTCCTATTCCACTGGACTGGGACAGACCTTGGCAGGTATGCAGTTGTTCATGTGAGGCCAGAAAAGTATACTAGTTTGAAAAATCTACTTTTCTATGTAGTGTATTGCTCTTTTACCAATGTGCCATTATGGGAAGGGAACAAGTTTGAAAAAGACAAGAAATTAAAAAGCATCTGTAAGTGAAATGAAAAGAAACTCATTAACTGCAAGCATGTTTCTAATTCTAAAATAAAGAAAGCAACAGTTGGTAATATTGAAATTCCACATGCTGGGAGCCAAAATGTTGTTATGATGTAAAGGCCTTTTTGAGAATCACATTTGGAAGTGCAAGTATTTATCTACAGGGATGATGAATGCTCCAACATGTTTAATACATGGTTAAATTACACTGGGCCAAATAAAAAATACGATGCAAATCTCTAGGCTCTCTCTAATACATGGATTTTCAAATTTCAGTTCCTCACTCCAAGAATTCCACAATCATCACATTTCTGTATTTGTTGAACCACATCCATAACTAGCTGATGTCGTGTTACTTTAACTATTAGGTAACTGGATCAAACTTTGTACAGTTCTATAATTCATTTATAATTACAACAACATTGGCCTTTGACAATGTAAAATATTCCAAGATAGTTCAGCACAGCAATATTGAATACATTTTAACACTAGCTACATAAAGAGAAATCACAGAAGATGATCAAGATTTAGTTGGAGATCCATTTTAAAAGAGTGCCTTAAGGGAAGAATCAGAGAGAAGTGAAGAGATTTAAGGAGGCACTTCCCTCCTTAAGGCAGCTGAAAGCATGGGCACCAATGGTAGAGTAATTTTTATTTTATTTGTTCATTAAATGAAAGCATCACCCACCCTTCCTTGTCCCTGAGAATATGGTGGTGAGTTGGCTTCTCTAAATACTGCAGTTCATATGGTGTGGAGACAATCTCAATGCTGCTAGGGAGGGTGTTCCAGGACTTTGACCCAAGGAACAGCAATACTATTGCTTAGAGGATGGTGTGTGACTTGGAGGGAAACATACCTGGTAGTGATGTTAGCACGCATCTGCTGCCCTTGTTTTTCTAGGTGGTTGGAAGTTGTTGCTGAAGAAGCTTTGACAAATTGTGGCAGTATGTCTTATTGGTGGTACACATTGCTTTGTGGTATAAGTGGTGTAAATTGAGCGTGCTGCTTTGTCCTGGATAGCGCCAAGCATCTTGAGTGTTGTTGGAGCTGCATTCAACATGGCAGTAGAACATATTCCATCAAATTCGTGGCTTATGTCTTGTAGTTGGTAGACAGGCTTTGGGGAGTTAGGAGGTGATTTATTTGTTGCCGGATTCCTAGCTCCTGACCTGCCTGTGTAGCCACAGTATTTACATGACCGGTCAGTTTCAGTTTCAGTTTCTGGTAACTGGCAACCTCTGAGATATTGGTATTTGACAGATCAGCAATGATAATGCCATTGAATGTTGAAGGATTATTTAGTAAAGCCTTTGACAAAGTTCTGCATGGTAGACTAATTAGTAAAGTTAGATCAATTGGGATTCAGGGCAAGCTTGCCAATTGCACACAAAATTGGATTGACGGTAGGAGACAGAGGGTGAGGTGGAGGGTTGTTTTTCGGATTAGAGGCTTGTGACCAGCAATGTTCCACAGGGATTGGTACTGGGACCACTTTTGTTTGTCATTTATGTAAACTATTTGGGTGAGAATATAGGAGGTAAGGTTAGTAAGTTTGCAGATGACACCAAAATTGGTGATTTGGTGGACAGTGAAGAAGGTTATCCAAGATTACAGAGAGACCTTGATCAAATGGTTCAATGGGCTGAGGAGTGGCAGATGGAGTTTAATTTGGATAAATGTGAGATATTGCATTTTGGTAAAAACAAACAAGGGCAGGACTTGTACAATTAATGGAAGGACCCTAGATACTGTTGTAGAACAGAGAGACCTAGGGGTTCGGGTATATAATTCTTTGAAATTTGCGTCACAGTTAGACAGAGTGGTTAAGAAGGCATTTAGCATGCTTGCAGTGTGCAGTTCTGGTCACCCTTTTATAGGAAGGATATTGTTAAATTGGAGTGGGTTCGGAAAAGGTTTACCGGGACGTTGCCAGGAATGGAGAGTTTGAGTTCTAAAAATAGGCTGGGACTTTTTACACTGGCGTATAGGAGGTTGAGGAGTGACCTTATACAGGTTTACAAAATCGTGAGGGGCATAGATAAGGTGAATAGCAAGGGTCTTCTCCATCGGATGGTTGAGTTCAAAACTAGGGAGCATATTTTTAAGGTGAGAGGAGAAAATTTTAAAAAGGACATGAGGGGCAACTTTTTTGCACAGAGCGGTTCATGTGTAGAATGAACTACCAGAGGAAGTGGTGGATGCAGGTACACTTGCAACGTTTAAAAGACATTTGGATAAGTACATGAATAGAAAAGGTTTAGAGAGATATGGGCCAAATGCAGGCAGGAGGGACTAGTTTGGTTTGGGGACAAGGTTGGCATAGATTTGGTGAACTGAAGGGTCTGTTTCCATGCTGTATGACTCTATGACTCTGCCTCTACTATTGGTAGAATATTGTCAGGGCCCATAGCCTTTGAAGTATCTGGTGCCTTCAACCATTTCTTGATGTCTTGTGGAATGTATCGAATTGGTGAAGACTGGCATTTGTGATGCTGGGGATCTGAAGAGGATCCATGAAAGATTCTATATAAATGCAAGCCAATTTTTATTTAACAGCTTTGATACAATGGATTAGAATCATTCAGTGGTTGATTCATGGCTGATCAAACATTTCACTACATTTTACCCTTTCCCCATAGTCCTCCACCTCAGCATAAATCAGAAATCTATCCATCTCTATCTTAAACGTACTCAAAGACTGAACTTGCCAGCCTTATGTGGTAGAGAACTTCGAAGATTCAGACCCGCCTGAGTTTTTAAAAAAACCTCATCTCAGACCTAAGTTGCATCACATTTTTTTCTGTAAATTGTGCCCCAGATTCTAGATTCCCCTAATGAGAAACATCCTACCTGCATCTGCTCTGTCTATCCGTTGAAGCTTTTTGTTTTTCAACAAGATCATCTCTCATTCTTCGAAACGAGAATGCAGGACGAGCTTGCCCAATCTCTGTCCTTGGAGTACAGTCCCATCCTCCCAGGAACAAGTCTGTGAACCCTTGTTACATTACCTCGATTGTAACAATATCCTTCCTGAGATAAGGAGTCCAAAACTCTGCACTAAGAGTTCCAAGTGTGATCTTTCGTCCTTGTTAACTCAGTTTTAGGTATGCAGCAAGAAGCTGAGTGAGATGCCAGATGCCAAGGATTAACAAGGATGGTTAATGCAGGAAATGGAAAATTCAAATCGGTTCAATGAAGGGAACTATAGTGAAACTGGCATATTTTGGAGCTGTGCAAAGGAAAAGTTGAAAAGTGAAGCATTTGTAGCTTTGATCACTTTGAATACAAAAGGGAAAACTTCAGATGTTTTCAGTTGTTGCTTTCAAAAATTAGCAAAACCAGAATTTTTAAATATTGTGCAATTTTGCTTAGTTTGCATATCTGCCTTGATGGTTTTAGACAACTTGAATAAACTCCAGAAACGGTTCTACCAACATAGAATTCTTCGCTGATGAGAACTCTTGGCCAGTTTTCCTAAGACTCTCACTTTATTTTTAAAAAATCTATGCAATGCTGCCACATTCCCACCGGTACCATTGTTCAAAAGTATGTAAGAGCTGGAACAATTTGTGACTCATTAACTTTAGTCTTAAACATTTTCTCTTTTCAGTTTCCATTGTTGTTTTACCATTGTGTCACTTCTTTTATTGACAGACGCTTTGGTTTCCTGTTTATATTTCTAAGATGTGTTCATTTCTTTCATTGTTTACAAAGAGCTTCTTCCTCTAATTCTTTTTCCTTGATTCGTTCCTCTTGGTTGCAGTGAAAGTTGGTTATCACCAAGTACCTCACAGGCAATTAATTATTTTGAAACTGCCGTTGCTCTTTTAATGTGGGGAAATACCACATTAAGTTTTTATCAGAGAAAGGTTGCAAAATCAGCATTGAGCAAAATGACCAAATCTTTATTGCTGTTTTAAGCATAAATATTGGGAAGTACATCTGAAACAACCTTTTTTTTTGCTTCATCAAATTGTGCCAAGCCATTGTTTAGATCTACCTGACAGACCATTTGGGACCATGGTTCAAAATCTCATCCTAAATACAGCATCAACAGACAGTGTTGCAGACTCACAATACTGTACTCAAATATTAATGTAAACTATGTGCTCATGTCTACAGGAGAGAGAGCATACACGATGAGCCTTCAGAAAATTATCTTTCCCTCCTTATGGACGTAGTATGTGGCACTTCATCACATAAATACAGCCAAGATTAGGAATTCACTGTGTTATATTTGCCTGAGGTGTTGTATGCAAGATTTCCGATTTGAGTCAGTTTTGGCTAATTCCTTTCAACTGATTAAATGTCAGTTTCTTTCTTAACTGTTCATCAAAGCTTTCAAGCTGAGTATCCTCCCTTTACACCTCTTTTAACTAAAATATTATCAAAAGCTATGAAGGCATCACTCTGCCTAATTCCCACACCACCAGCAGAGCCTTGCTTGCAGCAGACAGATTATTGAACAAACATTGGTAGCCACCCCACGATACGCAGTCCATTAGAATACTTAAACTTCACCATGAGTGAGAAATCAATCAAATAGTGCTCACACTGTTTTTCACAGTTTTCTAATTACACTCCCCTACTGTCCAAAACCTCATGAGTAATTGAACCTAGTTTCATATCCGTCTCACTCTATTCCCCTGAAGTTATTTTTTGAGTTACACTTAAAAATTTGAGTTAAAACATTCCCATTCCATTTCTGAATACTTTCAACAACTCCAGTGAGCACAAGCTCCTTGTCTTGAGCATCTCTTCCCTTTCTCCATCATTTCTGGAGCTTCTGTTTTCAATGGGCAGCTTCCTTTCTGCACCTCCAAATGTTTGAGCATCCACCTGAACTCTTTCCCA